TTTTCTGATGTATCAAATACTTATGTCATGCAATAAAATGCAAATTAATTACTTAAAAATCATACAATGTGATTTTCTGGATTTTTGTTTTAGATTCCGTCTCTCACAGTTGAACTGTACCTATGATAAAAATGCTTTGTAAATAGGAAAACCTGCAAAATCGGAAGTGTATCAAATACTTGTTCTCCCCACTGTATATATATATATGTATGAATATATTTGCGAGAGAAAAAAGCATGGGGTATTGGAAGTGATGCAGACAATTACATTGATGGAAGTTACAATCTATCTGCAATATTAAAGCTGATCTACCCCAAAAATAAAATCAAAAATAAATAAAAAAATAAATAAAAATAAACTAACAACAGAAATAAAAAATATAAAAAGATCCTGCATGGGAGTTTGATCATAAGATTTTTTAATGACTGATTTCTTAACCTTTTGTCTTTTTCTCTGTGTTCTCCCCTGCAGAACGAGCTCCCTCCTCCATACTACTCTGTTGAGGTGCACACCCTCCCACCCCTCCAGTCCTATGAAGAGGTAGTCTATGGAGCGGGTCCAAGGCACACTCCTCCCAACCAGCTATACTACATCCCCCAGCACCCCCCAACAGTGGCTTCGCAGCACGTCTGCCAGCCCAGTATATGTGAGTAGTACTCTCTGTCCCAGTTCTGTCCCAGTCCAGTTCCCTCCGTTCCTTATTTGCTTTCAGGGGACTACAAACCACCAGTGAAAATAGTGCAAAATAATACAAGTTGAAACAGAAGTTGTATTAATACAAAAACATCCTTGAGAAGTGTGATTTTAACCTCTTCATTATGTCTCTGCATAATGTGGTGGCTATACACTGAGTGCACAGAACATTAGGAACACCTGCTTTTTCCATGACATAGAGTGACCAGGTGAATCCAGGTGAAAGCTATGATCCCTTACTGATTTAACTTATTAAATCCACTTCAATCAGTGTAGATGAAGGGGAGGAGACAGCTTAAAGATGATTTTTAAGCCTTGAGACAATTGAGACATGGATTGTGTATGTGTGCCATTCAGAGGGTGAATGGGCAAGACAAAATAATCAAGTGCCTTTGAACGGGGTATGGTTTAAGTGTGTAAAGAACTGCAACGCTGCTGGGGTTTTCACGCTCAACAGTTTCCCATGTGTTTCAAGAATGGTCCACTACCCAAAGGACATCCAGCCAACTTGACACAACTGTGGGAAGCATTGGAGTCAACATGGGCCAGCATCCCTGTGGAATGCTTTCGACACCTTGTAGAGGTCATGCCCCAACGAATTCAGGCTGTTCTGAAGGCTAAAGGGGGTGCAGCTCAATATTAGGAAGGTGTTCCTAATGTTTTGTACACTCAGTGTATGGTTTCAATATGGTCTCCTGAGTAAGATATATCTGTTTGCATGTATGCCGTGTGTGTTGTTCCAGCTCTTCCTGACAAGAAGAATAAATACAAATGCTGCCACCATCGTGCCAAGTGCTTTGGTGGGTCAGGAGGCATCGTTCTGTTGCTCCTGGCCATTGTCATCTGGCTCGGAGGTAAGGCCAGGGTTGTCTTTATATTTATTCATATGTTGTTGCTCATGTATATGTATGCCTGTTTATTCATTTATATGTAAGCTACTCTCTGATTCAGAGGGGTTGGGTTAAATGCGGAAGACACATTTTGGTTGAATGAATTCAGTTGTACGACTGACTAGGTATCCCCCTTTCCCTTCCCTACTGTATTTGTGTAGGCATTGACAGTCTTCCTCTCCTATCTCTTCCTCTGTCTCTCCTCTTCTCCCCACCCTTACACGTTCTCTGTGCCCGCAACCTACCCCATCCAACCCTACCCCCATCTCTCTCTCTCGGTCTCTTTCATTTCATATGTCTTTCTCTCTCTCTCTGGGTAGTGCGTTACGGTACCAGGTTGGCAACAGCGGCTGCCATCCGCGACCACCATGATGATGAGGGGCGCTATGAGAAGCTGTTGAGCGTGCCCGTGTATGACACCTGCTCCAACTCCACCGTCCAATGTGACGCTCTGCGAGACTGCCAACTGGGCACCGACGAGTCCAACTGTGGTAAGCACACACACACACACACACAACACACAGACAGACATAAATAAATAATTTCTGTAGATGTACAGAAATTAAAGCCAGGTGGACAGGTAGACATACACTCGACGTATGACAAGCAGACAAACATAACCCTTTTCGTATGTTATTATTCTATCCCCTCCTCTCCCTCTCTCCGCAGTGAGGTTTGGGGCGAATGGTGCTCTACAGGTCAGAACGTTTCAGGATGGTCGTTTCCTCCCAGTGTGTTACCAGGGATGGGACCACAGCTATGCCAACCAAACCTGTGCACAACTGGGCTTCAGAAAGTAAGACATCATCTTATTTCACAACAGCCATTTTATAAGCTACCTCACAAAGTAACTACTTTCTCTCACAACAGCCATGTTATCTTCTACCTTTAGAGAGTAATCACTTTCTCTCACAACAGCCATTTGTATACGCTACCTCTCAGAGTAACTACTTTCTCTCACAGACATTTGCTCAGTGACATCTAATTTCACTGCTGCCATTTTCTGTATTTACTCTCAGATTGATTCTCTGCGCTCCTCTCTCTCTGGGGTTGGTGTGCCTGTGGCAAATTGACTTTCTGGGAATGCTTCATGGGAGGGGAATTGATTCTAGTATTGTTTTGGCAGACAGAATCTAAATGTGTTTGTGTGTGTCGACCATACAGGTCCTTTGCAACCAAGGCAGTGAAATCCCAGCAGTCCATTGGTCTAACCCTGAACAACAGATCGTCTTTACCCATCCAGGGCCAGGTCAACGTCAGGTAAGAGAGCTCAACTCCTCTATAAATCTTAGCACTTATGTATTTACTCATTTTAGTCCCAGTAATGTTGAGGGAATGATGGTGTTAAGTCATACACTGTCATTATCTGTCATGACTGGTTGGGATGAAATGTTATGTCATCCTTATAACTGCATTATAAGCCTCATGAAGGCAGTTTCAAATCAACTGTAACCATGCTGCACATATCCCAGTGTGGTTCAATGTTAGATCCTGAGTTCCTGACATGGTTGTTCTTGTGTTGCTATGTAGCTCGTCCTGCCCTGACCAGAACACAGTCTCTCTGCAGTGTATTGGTAAGGAGCTCTCATCTGTTCATATCAACCTTCTGTTTGAAATATGACTTCTAGTTCAATTAGATACAAACATTTGACCACTTCTCCCCCTTTTCCCAGATTGTGGGCGTCAGCACTTGACCTCCCGGATCATAGGGGGCACTGTTGCCAAGCTGGGCCAATGGCCCTGGCAACTCTCTCTACATTTTGGTGGATCACACATCTGTGGAGGGGTCCTGGTGTCCCCTGACTTTGTGTTGACGGCTGCCCACTGCTTCCCCAGGTCAGTGACTAGAGGACAACAATGATCAGTTCCAAACTGATCCCTTGGCTCTAATTCTAGGCACGCTATTTAGATCCTTGATAATAGCTCCACCTTAACCTCTCTGCTGCATTCATGACAAGTCGGAGTGAAATCCGACTTGTTTTGAACTCGTTGAGAATGCCAATTGACTAATGGCAAGCTAGCTACTCCAACAATAAACAGAACGTACAGCTATAATGCTGGTAAACATTGTAAAAAAAAACATAGATTTAAAATTACTTTTTGTTGTTGCATTTAACTGCCAAAAATGCTGTTGTCGAAGTAATTTCTTTAGTCAGAGTTCAGCATGTCGGACAAGTCGGAGTTCTCAGATGATGCCAGGATTTCTGACTTTGAATTACTAGTTAGAGGACTGTTCAAATAGATTTTTTACCACTCAGAAGCTTGTATTTCCGAGTTTCCGACATGTCATGAACACACTATTAGCCTAAGGAGAATGTCAGTCCTTTTACTTACACATATCCATATAAAACACAGACTAGTAGTGAATCTGTGCAGCAACTTGCTCAGTGTGATTCAAGAACAAGCAGCATGACAACCCCTCATCACCTCAATAACCCTCACCTTGACAACCAATCTCCATAACTCAATTAAACATCTTATTACTATAGAATAATATAATAATAATAAAATAATAATAATAATAGTAATAATATCTGTGTCATAAGCTACACCCTTGGTTTGAGAAGTAAATTAATATCAATTTTATTCTCCTTTTATCCTTGCCAATTGAAGGTCTTTCCCCCCGGATGCCAGTAGGTTGGCGTGTGTACGGAGGAGTGGTATCTCAAGACAAGCTTCCTTCTCCCTACCTCGTAGAGAAGATCATCGTGAATGAAAAATACAACAACGTAACCAACGACCAGGACATCGCCATACTGAAGCTGGCCTCACCAGTGGATTTCCACTAGTGAGTCCGGCTCTATTCCTCTATATCAGAGAAATGCTAGGGAAACACTAGCGACAATGTTGGGACGCACTGTAAAAATGTTTGCCCTTTGAGGCACTGTAAAAATGTTTGCCCTAAAGGTCTGTGATGCATCCACTGTCAGAATGGTAATCTCATTGTGTGTGTGTGCGTATGTGTGTGCGTATGTGTGTGTCATTTTGTAACTGGGGTTTTTTGTTCTGAAATCTGTATGCCATTGTTTTTAATTCCTTTTTTTTTTAAATCCTTGGTGGGTTTTGTTAAAAAACAGGGGTTGGGCAAAAATTCAAA